TATTCTAGAAAACTCGAAGTTGGTGTTGGGTGCGAAAACCAGCTTAGATTGGGAGCAGTGCTAGGTTTAAAGTCCCCCCAGCGTTTAGCTCGTGGCAACATACGTACCTAGCGTGGCAGACGTTGCGAGATTATCGGTTGGATGTTTGTTTGGCTGGATCAAGCTTTGCCACTTTCACTACCATTCGCTACGTCATCCTTTCGCAAGTACTCGTAATAAGAAGCTGTGAGCGCTTTACCCTCTAGTCTGCTGGCTACAATCATAGACAACATAATATTATCGTCACAGCCCCATCTCTTACGTACTAGCTTCTACTCGCGCCCCGGTATCTTCTCCTACTAAACGATTACGCGAGTTCCACCCAGCCGATTCGGGCCACTTCTAAAGGTGCTTGTCATCAATGGAGAGCAGCGGCCTTGGCGCTAAAGTAGCCATCCCTCGGCTCAAGCGGCCTAACCAGCAGACTGTTCTTCCGGGGCCTCCCCGTATTAGTTCCGGGAGAGTTAATAAGGCAGTAAGTACCGTACTTGCACGACTCAGCATCATGACGCTGAATCGAATATGTAGTGCAGTGGATGCCAGAAGCGCAGTATGTATATTACTAAATTCCGTTCTTGCAACTGTGCCTACTAATTACTTCGTGTGGACATATTATGCGAGCTAATATGTGCAGAAATGAAATGCTCTGGCACTAGACCGCGCTGCATCAACTGCACGAAGTATGACAAGGATTGCATCTATCATCTGTCACGCCGGGACCGGCTAAGAGAGTGAGTTGACTTGAGTATCTCTTAGGTGCGCTTTTGACTTGAACAGGGCCACTTATAAGAGTGAAGTTCTCTCCGCACTACTCAAGGACATCCGTGGCGCCCTCGATAACGAGCATACAATGAGAATCGATGATACACTCAAAGAGTTTGAAAATGACACATCTCCACCATCGCCATCCGTACGCACTAAGTCATGGAAGAAACGATCGAGGATGTCATCGCCTGATGAAATGGATTGCGACAGGCAGGCGTTTAACGAGGCTCGCGCCTCATCCTCAGTGGGTTTTAACGAGGATCTCGATTTCCTAGAAGAAGATGTCCTGCGTGACCCCGAATCAATTGAGGCGAGCTGCATAGGTCGCAACTTTCAGATTCAATGCATGCCGACTTTGCAACGAAAGCCGGATCAGTCTAGAGGCGGGCCATCCGAGATGCCATATGCGGTACCTAGGGACAGCAAGGGGGCTGCCTCTAAACGCTCTGATGCACTTTATGAATGCCAAAGGCAGTCAGCGGGCGCCAAGCCTCTTTCGAGTTTCTACTCTAGGAGCTAATAGAAAACACTGTGTCGGATCTCGAAGATAGTCTACAGAGGATCGACAACAAGCTATAAGATCTTGTCGCTGGTGGTCTAAGTCGTTGTCAGACGAACTTCGACCAACAAAAATCCAGCTCGAGCGTGATAGCATACAGAGATGTCTCGATATATGCACCGAAATGTCATCGCATATTGAGAAAGGGCAGTCCACTGTGTCTCAAAATATGCACACATTCCCAGAAGAGTATGATAGTCATGTCAACGTAAGCAGTTCTGCCGATTCAGCCCGACGAGCTACAATCACCGTCCTGGATGATTGCAAAGAGAGGCTTGCCTATACATCGTTCCAGCTTAGGATACATCTTACGGACGTTCTTCGCCGTTTAGACGCGTTCCAACGGCATACCTTTGTTCATCCAGACTCCAACGAACAAGACAAAATGCAAGACATCAATAGCATCAAGCAGAGCTTAGCAGTTTGCGCTCAAGCTTCTGAAGACGAATCTGCAGAGCGAGTCAACATGTTCGATGAAGTCTCACTTGGAGAAAATGGTCACCAAGTTATCGTGTCAACAGTTGGGGATTTGATTAACGCTCGGCGAGTTTCGGCTGGTGCAAGGTCTACACAGTTACTAGGGCAAATGTCCGATTCCACGCTTCAGACGATTCGGCAGCGTCAGAGTCATATCATTTCGAAACAGGCACCTTTGCAGCAGGAAGACGATGCGTTGTCTTCTAGTGACTAGCATCATTCAATTCCTAGGAAAGAGAATACGAGCGGGCATAGGGATGTGGAATGGAATGATTTTACAAAAAGGACAAGCTGACTAGCTTACTATGAAGGTCAGAGAAGTCATCGATGGTAAAAGAGTTTCGCTAGTAACTATGTATAAAAAGAGCGAGGAGTCACAGTTGGATGCCGCCTTTACACGAATCAATAGGAGCAGTTTGTTACATAGCTTCCTTGGCATGTCAAAATAACCGCCGGCCTTCCTGAACGAGACTAGCAGCGCTTATCCAACCAGCAACGCGGACCATTTGGTCACGCAGTTCGTACGCCTCGTGACGCGATGCACTTGATCTAAAACCTATTCAACCTAACTTCGGTCCCATAAGCCTCCGTCCAATACATTCAATTTACCGCGACACGCATTATCCGCGATGGCTGAGCCTATAGGCCTTGCTTCTGGCGTCTTGACATTAGTCATTTTCACTCACAAATCATGTGTTACGCTTTATAAAACAATACAGAGTTTCAAAAACCATCCCAAGCGAGTGCGCAATCTCATCGAGGAGCTAGAGGCTCTCATTGGCGTTTTGGAATCATTGAGCGAAACGATGAAGCTGCATATAGATGTGGATGTTTCCGCACTTGATCTACCTTTGCGACGATGTGGCAGGGCTTGCGACGAGTTTTTACAGGAGCTCCAAAAGTGCTGCTCGCGATCTGGAGGCGATCGACAAAGCTTTCGGGACTGGGCCAAGCTGAGGTACATGGGTGATGACATCAATGATTTTGTGGATTCGCTAGCAGCATACAAGTCAACAATCAATATCGCGCTCACAGACATTCAGCTGTAAGTTCCATAGCTCTACGCCTAACCTCATACGCTAGGGCTAACTAACCTCCTTTAGTCGCAAGACTTCTGTTACTCTAGAGCGGCTTGGAGACTACAACGACCTTATCACAACAGCAACGAACGATCTCGAGGCGCGACTCGAAACTATTGATGAAAGGCTCCAATCTTTGGTAGAGCGCACTACGTCAAGCTCAGCAACAACAGAACTTCAAAGCTTGGAGGACGAGCGCTCAAGCACGCAAAAGTGTCTTCTGATTTGCGCCCAGTTCTCCAAGCTTATCCAGCAGCTGCAATCATCATCAGCAAGGGATCTTCCCCAAGGCTTAGACAGCATACCTAAGAAGATCACGAGCGATGGTATACGAGAATGTAAAATCAGTATGGAGCAAACAACTGCAAAGTTAGAAATGCATATGCAGGACATTTTGGATCGAATGATGGCCAGTTCAAGCGTAACAATGACACAAGAAGATGTAAGACACCTTGCAAGATTGCGCGAGGAATGGACAAGTACTCGTAAATGCAGAGATATTTGTTCCCAAGCAGAACAGCACTTAAAAGAGAACGTAAGTGTCATCGACAACTACGCTACAGGTGACGAAGCCGTGCAATTTCTGGTATCAAATAGCCAAAAGACAATACATGGAAAGAACCGTGGATATGGGGACTTCATCAAACAACTCGGTGGTCACCTCAGCGACCAGTCGATCCAGAAGGTATCCGGCGATTTTTTGCAGATGAGTATTCAGAGGCCTGGATATGGATATCCGGATGACAAGGTACCAGAAGCCAAAGGTATAGATGAGAGAGGAACAAACTGGCGGCCGGAATATGGTGGAGGTAGGACGCTCAAGTCCCAGCCTGTTGCAAGCGACTCAAGGCAGTCAAGCTGAGCTAGGTAAAGCCAAATCCTGACGTTTAATAGCGGTGTTGTTGCACAAGCTTAGAGTGAGTCGCAAGATCTGCACCTCCGGTTATACGCATTTGCACTGACTATTGAATGTTTGTGCTAGACGTTGAGCTTGTTCTTCCTCTGCTTAGCCTCCGCCTCGAGCTTATGCTGCAACCCTCGTACATACTCAATGAAGTTGACCAAGTCACCTGGCCTTGCTTCCTTTGGAATACAGCTTTGAAGATCTCGTATCAGTTCTTGTACCTTAGTACTGTTTGACATTACATTCGCGGTGTAGTCTTCGACCGTTTTGGATTGTCGTTCAAGATAGCCATTGATGGTGTGAATCGCTCGTGTTGCCTTTTCCTTAGAATCGATATCTTTTAACCTTTCGAAAACATTATCAACAATTTTTATGGCGACTTCGAACTTCGTGTGCGATAGGCTGACTAGCAGTGAGTGGGTTGTAGCAAGAGCATGTCCTCTATAAGCAGCCGCCTCCTTCTTTGCCTCTTTCGTAATCTCGACTTGTTCCATCATCTTGGCTAAAGACTTGGTGACGATACATTTTTGCTTTTGAATCTCGTCTTCCAGTTGGGCCTGTTTCGCAACAAGCCGCCCAATATCAGCCTTGTAGTTGGCTATGGTTTTGGTGTATCCTTCCTTCCGCTCGGTCTTCTGCAAATTTGTTACTAATCTCTTTAGACTAGTAATGGCTTGCGTCTGATTTGCATCCTCATGCTTGTAGAAGTCATTTGACATTCGGAGATTTTCCACCTCCGCAAGTGAAAGCTGGCATTCGCGCTGAAGTTGTACCTCCTTCTCGATAGCCTCGTTCAGTTGCTCCTCTGTTTCTCGGCACTTTTGTAATTCCTCTTCCGCATCCTCGATCTTCTTTTGCAAGCTTTCCTTTTCCTTCTTAGCCATGCGAAGAGCGCGTGCATTCTTTCCTGCCTTCGATCGAAGCACAACGTTTGTCTCTGCAAGTTTGCGATTCAGATCGTTCCGAGTCTCGATCATCTTAGAAGATGTATTGCAAACTTGCTTTAGACGAGTTCTGTTTTCCTCAAGGGTATGCTTGAGGTGGTTTTTCTCGATTTCTTTCAACAAAACGGTAGACTCGATTTCCATGATCTTCTGTATAAGGTCCTTTTTCTGTTCGTCACTGGTATTGCTGGCCTTGAAGTTGGCGAAGGCATTATGATGAAGATTCCTTGCGCTGGAACTAAGGTTTGCCGCTTCCTGGCTCCATTAGTAACCCGACCATCTTCCCGCGGCAATTTCCCGTTCATAATACTCGGTCGCGTCCCTACATGCTCGCATTGCTTGATCTGATTGCTGTTTAACACGACCTATGTAACTTTGTAAAAAGTATATATGATGGTTGAGATTGGTGATTGTCTCATTAGCAACGTACATCTGAAAAGCCTGGGCTTGGACTTCATATTGGTAAGTGTCGTTCAGAGTACGCGCTTTAGAAAGTTGGTCCTCAGTCTCTTGTAAATTGGCGAGAAGTTGATGCTTTTGGTTCTGCAACTCTGCGTTCTCCCGGTTCACAGACTCTATAATTTGTGCGGGCTCCATGTTGAAGATTTTGCTTGTACTGGATCTGGTTGGGTAATGTGGTCCTCGTTTGTCGAAGTCGGAATCGGTAGATTTGCGCGAAAGATGAAATAACGTCCGTCCCTCCGTGCCGGGACGCACGGTGTGACGGGACACCTTTTCTTCCGGATGCCCGGGTTGCGT